GACCGTTAACTGACCGTTTTCTGACCATGGACGTTTTCAGACGATCTTTGGACCGTGAAACGGCCACACTGAAAACGGCAAGTTAACGACTTGTTCACTGGGCGTTTTTTTGCCGTTTTCATAACGTTAACGCGCCGTTTTTTGTGTGACCGTTTACTGGAGATTAACGGGCCGTTTTTTTGGACCTGGGGAATGTCGTCTTCAGAGCATATACCGCTAACAGACTAAGAAATCAACCTAATTTCCGACAAGTCAATTCATAACGTTAATCTAACTGTAACGAAGAATTTCACACATAGTCAATTATCAGAATCCATAAAGATTTGTTTATAAACAAGTTGGTTTAGGAGGATCAAATGATCTGGCATTATATGTTAGTGCTAGAAAAAGTGACGATGTAAAAGACGACGTTTTATTTTTCCACTATTCTGCTTTACTTGCTCGAAAATATTTCTGAAGAGTACAATACATAAACAATAGAACTAAATAAAATGTTGTCATTATGATATCTTAAAATATGTATAAGAAATGTTTTGTTTGATGCTTCATGATTGAGATCTTTTCTGTTTTTATACTTATTAATTAGATTTAAAAGGTGGTCTCAATTTGCAATAGCGGGTTTTTTCTTTTCACATACTTTGTATACTGTTTGGAATGCACAATATATAAGTATATAGCATAATAATCCTATTTTAGATTCATATTCATCATCATCATTGAAAATACATAACGGTAACTTAATGATGGAGGTCTACTGTATGTGGACGGCTGTGTTTTTCATACAGAAGTAATAAACGTATGAGACTCAAGAGGAAAGAGAGCGTAGAACAATCAACTTTTAACGAAGAAAAATTCCCGAACTAATTTCTGCTGATGTAAGAAACTCAGTGGGAAAAAGAATATAGATTATTCACGTTTCAAAGAAGAAAAAAACTTTTTTTTCGGGCTAATTTTTCATGAAGAAGGAAATTTTTTTCGGCCGAATGTTTTCGAAATGGGAAAGAAAATGATGCAAGAAAATTTTAATCTGTGTTCATTTATATCCGAAGTTCGCAAGTGATAGGACAAATGTAATACGAATTAATAGATCATTTTTGGGTCTACTGCCTTTTTTCAAGCTCCCTTACACGATTCCAATTGACATCTCGAACTTTTGTTGTACAGTATTCATATTTCGCTTGTGATTCGAAATCGGCAGCAACCTGAAGTGTGGTTAAACTGGTACAAAACCGGTGTTAACCGGCTGATTGAAAAATTCAACCGGATTGGATTGGTACCGGTCAACCGATCGATCAAGTACCCGTTCCAACTCTGGCCAGAGGATTTCCTCCTTTCGTACAGATCCAAAACCCTTCACACGATTTTTAAAGTAGCACATTCGGATGAAAATTCCAACTTTCCATCCCTATTTATCTTAAGTTGACGAAATAAAGTCATCGAGAAATGTGGCAGTTGATTTATCCTTCGCGAAAACGTTTTCAACAGAAGTGTGTGCCGAAAAACGGTTTACCGGCGACGTGAAAAATTCTTCTCGCTCGCGCGCGTGGGAGACGAAATTTTTCTTTAAATTTTCGAAAAAACGCGTATTTTTCGAAAATTTTCTTCCAATCGGCGTATCGCTAACACCTCCAACATATCGAGTCGAAATAGATTTGACTGGAGTTTTTCTGTGTCAGAAGAAGCAGACGAGTTGAAGAAAAATGTTTTTTGCAAGTTAGCTATAAGCATAAGGACATGACTAATTCGAAAATATCTCTGCTCAGGTCTTTTCCGTTACCGAGATAGGAGGCATTATCAGTAAAATAACTACCTTTTCTACCGGCTACTTATAATCATAGCTTTATGAATAAAATAACCATAAGTAGCTCGGGTACAGTATAGAGACATGTTGCCAAGTGCGAGCTTACTTTTTGATTGGTAGAAATCGTGAAAAAAATGAGAAGCCCAACATGGTTAAAAATGGAAAAAGTCCAAAATTTGGAACATTTGGACCCTCTCCCTATCCATGGAAGACGTTTCTATAAAATTACAACTGCCACAGAATTTAATTACAAAGTTACAGCTGCCTAAGTAATCAATTTCATCAAAGGATCTCTCCTTCGGAGCAATAAATAAGAGTCAGTTTTTACGAATTAATGTCTCTTATCTTGGTAACGGAAAAGACCTTAGCAGTGATATTTTCGAATTAGTCATGTCTTTATGCTTATAAGTAACTTGCAAAAAACATTTTTCTTCAACTCGACTGCAAAAAACTCCAGCCAAATCTATGTCGTCTTCATATGAACTATGAATATGATATCTCAACACGACATTCGTCATCAATTCCGATAGGTCTTCCAATGATCTAACCTGCTAGCAGCCCAAAGTTCGAGAATAACAATAAAAAGCTAAAAAAGATTAAAATTTGTATATCACCATGTCATGGCGATATACAAACTGGTATATCACATCATATATCATGGTGATATACAAAGAAATGCAGAAAAATACTGCTGGATGATTCTATCCAAAACTCAAGAATCAGAAGTCCGATAAGGAACGATTATCATCGAACTCAATGACAATGCAAGGACTCTTTTCTAAAGAGACTGCTTACTTAGACGAAAGATTTTGATAAAATTTGGCTAAAATCATAGATTAACAAATTGAAATTTTATCACAGGCTGTTAAAAAATCTAAGTCCTGCTATCTAAAATAAACAATATTGAAAGCGTGACATTCACTGCTGAAAGTAAACACAAAAAATTTAAAGTTAGGAGAAAGAGCAGTTAATGATTTAAATAATGAGGTAATGAAGTACAGAACTGCTATAAACATGATTAACTAATCATAATGTATTTATTTCATTGATATTTCGACAGAATCCACTGTCATCATCAGAATGAAAAAAAGTGTAAATGAGTGTGTCAAATTTGAAACTATACATAGTCAAATATAGAGTGCAAAAGGAAAAAGGGGGAAAAATAATAAAATATAGAACAAAAAACACGTCCAGTCTGTAGATGAGTAGAGTCGAAATATCAATGAAATAAATACATTATGATTAGTTAATCATGTTTATAGCAGTTCTGTACTTCATTATCACATACTTCATTACCTCATTACAAAAAATTTAGTATAACTATTTTGTAATGTGTACTACAGGTACACATTACAAATCTCAGCTCCTCGCTGCGAAGCTCTGTCCTTCCAAATATAGCCGACAGTAGCTGTGGAACCAAACAGATCATCAGTTTCCTGTGTGATTCGGTACCAACCGGTTTAGGAAAGAAAGGATTTTGTGGTTTTTCCGATATTTAGAGGTACTTAGAAATACAAAGAATATGAGATGTATATCCTGAAGTATGATATTATCATACTTGCTTTATTGCGCTGAAAAACATTTAATTCATCCTGCTGACGTGAGTAAAGGCCTGCGGGACCAAACATTTTTCGTCCCGGTCCTGTAAAGAAAAAACATTTTGATTTCGCTCCCGGTCCGGTAGTCCAGTAAAAACTTTTTCAAGGTAGCGCTGATACATACATGCCGCGAGCGTTGTGGCATTAATTTAAGGCTGAATAATTTACATTTTACTGAAATACGCTGAAAAACACTTCCATTGCGGTTGGAAATTCTGTAACGGTCTCTACTTTGACTATAACTTTTGACTACTACTCAAAGATAATACTATTCAACAGGTTGATTTAGTAGAAATATACAAATTGATGATAACCTATATTATAAATATTGAACGCTTTATGAAACATGTTTGATTATTTTCTTCTTTTTTAATTACACACACCTCAGCAGCGTTTTCGATGTGTCCGTTACGAGTTTTCATCACTTCTTTATCTTATTTTGATTTTTATGTACTTTTTCTATTAGCTTATCAGTTGTTGTTTGCCTTTATTGCTCTTCTTATGGTCACTTCCCTCTCTTTCTCCATGTAACATACTTATATTATCT